AGGGAATGCAGCCCATCCATCCATCAAAGCATCTGTCTGCCGCCCTGCTCCACCCTCCTACCCACCAGCACTTGGAGACCTCCAACTGACCACCACGTCTGCGCCACACAACAAAGACACACCCCACACACAACACAACACGCTCCGAGACATGTTCACAGGCACCCTCTCCCACCGTCCACTGACCGGAAGATGGCGGCGCCGCCGTCGTCGGGCATGCCGTCCTTCTTGGGGCTCGTGGATCCCGTGAAGCCGAGGCCCTTGACCGTCACCTTGGGCCAGTCTCGCTCGAAGGACGAGTTGAGCAGGAACCGAGCGCCCTTGAGGATGACCTTGCCCTTGCCCTCCAGGTAGGTGTCCTTGCCCTTGTCCGTGTTGAAGAACAGCTCCTTGGACGAAAGGTTGATGGTCGTCACGCCGGGCTTGCTGGCACACTTGAACAGGTATGCACCGCCCTTGGCCAGCGCGTTCTTCAGCGCTGCATACCATCCATCCAGGGACACACCACACACACATTCCGGCACACAAAAGTGGTGGGTGGACGGACACTTTCCCTCTGTTTTTGTGGTTTTACCGGCCTCTGTGCAGTCTATTTTGGTGAGCTGGCCGTCCTTCTTGGACGTGATCTTGGGCGACGGGCACATCTGGGCGGGGGTCGGCTCGAACGCGCCGCACAGCCGCGCCACCAACAGGAAGCCGAAAACCGCAAAGATCTTCATCTCGGGCGGCCAATCCTGTGTCGGTAAGCGGCCCATACACCCCACCCACACGAACACGTCCTGATCTGTGTCCAATCCGACCGATTTCTGTGTCCTGTGGGCTCTCCCGGGCTCACTGCGGGATGGGCGAGATCCGGCCCTTACCGTGGGGTGTTTTGATGTCGGTCCACTGATTTGAAGCTCTGGTGAGGGGGTGGGGCACGGCAGGGGCAAGATCCGCGGACGATTTCGGAAAAAGAGGCGGGACGGACCGTGTGTTTACAAGCTCCGTGAAACCGACCCACCCCTACTGTTTGTCTGCTCCGCCCGGAGAATCGCACCCTGTGACGTCAAGACTCAGCTGATCAACGCTTCCCCACCCGGCGCTTGAGAAATAAAGCGATGGAATCGTCTAAGTTGCGGCGGCTTGTGAAGAGCCTGGCTCTGAAGGGCCTCATCCATGCCGCCTCCGACTCGGATATCGACACGTTCGAGAACATTCTCAAGCTGCCGCAGTTTGCCCACTGGAAGCAGGCGTTCGACCTCTATGTGGACGACTGCGAGAGGGCCGGCAAGGAGCTGGACGAGGCACACGCCCTGACTGTCGGAGAGCAGGTGCGAACACACATACGCAGGCTTTGGCCATTCCCACCACGGGTGCATGATCTGCCTCGGTTGTCTGTCTGTCTGTCTGTCTGTTTGCCTGTGTGTGATGCAGACAGCCCCGGTGCGGCGCGTGCGTCATGCCCTGTACATCGCTCACCTGTGCGGTGTCGACAAACCCGAAGATCTGTCTGAGGACAAATTCGCCATCGCCCGGCGCGTCAGTGGCATCGAGCGACAAGTGTCCAAGGTGGGTGGGAGATAAATGACCATAGCAGATAGCATGAGGGAAGCTGAAGCTCATGTGTGAATGTGTGTCATGTCTGTGTGTCGTGATGTGGTGTGACCTTTTGCAAACATGCCGACACTGACTCATCAGAAGTGGGAGCGTCGCGTGCAGGACCACGTCAAGGGCAACAAGTACCTCCGCGCCAGTGAGTCGCCCACCAACATCAGAGGCATACAGGCGCTGCATCTCATCCCTGACGTACCCGCGCCCACACGAAGCCCGACCAAGTCAGCCGCTCTCTCTCTCTCTCTCTCTCTCTCTCACACACACACACACACACACACACGCACCAATGCCATCAGGAAGTTGATTCTCTCCTCTCCTCTCGTCTCTCCTTTTGGTGCGTGCAGGTGTCAGGAGATGCTTCGCAGTCTAGAGCAGCAGGGCCTGCTGCCACACCTGACACAAGAGGAGGAGCGCGTGTTTCTCGACGCCCTGTGCACGCGATTCGACGACTGGAAGGTAGGTCTGTCTGCATTCCCCTCCACATCCCCCCCCCACCACCACCACATACACAGGGATCGTGTGTGTATGTGTGTGTGATAACTGCAGGGGATGTTCAGAGAGGCAGTGGAGACTGCCAACAAGGAGGGGAAGCCGCTGGACTTGAAGCAGCAAATTGCCATTGACGACAAGATGAGCCTGCCGCTGGGCAAGCTGCGACTCGCCCTCTACGTCGGCGTGACGGACAGCTACATGCAGGTCAGGTGCGGACGGGCGACGTCAGTCAGTCGCACATATACCGGGCACATGTCCCATGATGATTGCCTGTCATCGCTGTCAGGCCGACGAAGACGCCATGCCATTTGAGATCAAGAAGGTCGTGAGCGGCATTGAGGGGCAGGTGTCAGAGGTACGCGGCACTGCACTCACCAGCTCCACCCAGGCCTGGATCACCGATTTAATCTCTCTCTCTCTCTCTCTGTGTGTGTGTGTGTGTGTGTGTGTGTTGTGCTGTGGATGCTGTGGATGGTGTGGATGGCTGTATCTGTGCAGAAGTGGGAGCACCGCCTGATCCAGAATGTGCGTGCGTTCAACGTGTGAATGGCGCACCCGCTGCCTGCAGTGTTCTACCGTACACACAAGGGGACGATTAGCTGGGGCTAAGTAGACGTACGTGGATGTTGTGATGCATGCATCGACAGCTAGGGTTTTCTCTTGTCATTTGTACCCACTTTTGCGTGGCCTTGCTTGGTAATTCGTTAAACGAGTGTGAGGCGACAATGTGCCTGCGGCATTCGACAGCACACCCATTCTTCATCAGTCCATCCATCCAGAAGTCAGTGAACTACACTGCCAGCAGCCGCTTAGCTTACACATCACATAGCCACTTGCCCGCACCGACCGACACACAGCAGACAGAATGACTGACTCGCCATCACTCACTCACTCACACCAGTCCGCCTGACGCAACCTTACGCTTCTTCATCCGACTGTCCGCGGTGAGGTCCTTGGGTTTGTCCGACCTCAGAAACATCCACCGGCCGCCCTCGCTCTTGACAAAGTAGCTCTTCTCCTTCTTGGTCTCGGTCTTCCGGTTGGGCCCCGACACGTCGTAGGTGAACTCGATGGACGTGTGGTCGCCGTCAATGTCGGTGATGTTTTTGATCTGCAGATTCTCAAACTCGGCTTTGTCGAGGATCTCTTTGGTCTTCCTCTCCCACTTCTCCTGGTTCTCCTTGTAGGTGTCGCTGTCGATGGACGTGGTTGTCAGGATATACCGCGGGACCTTGAAGGCGTGAGCACAGAACCTGCAAAGAGCATCACGGACACACACGAAGAGAAGGAATCACACAGAGAGCACCCACAATCAAGAAGAACACACCACAGATCAGATCAGCGTCTGCCGCCCTCACTCACCGTGCCCTCAGAAGCTGCTCCGCATCGGCAGGCTGCGCCACGCCCTTGTGGAGAGGTCGGCAACAGTCCTTGTAGAGCTTGCCTTCAAAACAAGGGCAGTCGTCATCCAGGTGCTCCGCCGTCGGATCTTCCTTCTTCTTGCTCGTCGCAGGTGGTGCAGCGCCGAAGCCCTTGAACACGTCAAGCGACGTTGTCGGCCTCCTCGATGGATGAGTTGAAAGCGCTGGTGGGAGGGGAGGGGGACGAAAGGCGGAGAGAAGGTCCAGACGCGCAGCCACAACGATGCATGTTAATGATGGTAGGAGAGCCATCCTGTAAAATCCAGGATGCGGAAGACTGTGCCTACCCGTGCCAATTGCCGGTGCGAGCTCAAACTATCCCTTCCCTCCTCCTCTCGTCCAACGTTTCCGCCACTCGTGCTTCATCCATTCCTCCCCCTCCCCCCCACTTCCATCATAACACCCCACCGCTCCAGCCCAACGCACAGGGTCAATTATTATACAGGGTCCAGCCCCTTCTCGCGTTGGGGCTCTCGCTCACCGTCCTTCCCGTCCATCCATCTCACCATCCAACGGCCAGCAAGCGGGATTCATTTATGGCGGCGCTTTCGGTTGACCATGGTGCTGCTCGCCCTGTTGTTCCTCACACACGGCGCCGTTGGCCAGCAGCAGTCCCCCCAGGAGCCCTGCAAGGAGGGCGACTCGTCGTGTCTCCTCATGCGTGGCCTCCAAGTGTACGATCCGTACCTCACCGACACAGACAGCTTCGAATTCGACCCCAATACCCCTGCATACGAGCGATTCGAGCGCATTCTCGGGAGGGCCACTGACAGGAACCTTGGTTGGGGTGCGGGCCTGATGCGCATCGCGAAGGGCGACGGCACTTTGGTGTGGGAGGGGGCGTATGATGGCGGCCCTCCGGGTCGCAACGCGAACCCGCCTCCGGTCACCCGAAAGCATCCTTATGAGATCGCCAGTATCTCAAAGATGCTCACGGTGGGTAATACGGGGTATGAGAGAGAATTCATAATGCCTGTCTGTCTGTCTGTCTGCTTCAGGCGGCGACGGTTTTCACGTATGTCGACGAGGGCAAGATCAACCTATCAGGTACACACGTGGGTGGACAAATCGAACCACCGTCTCAATTGCCTGTCTGTCTGTCTGTCTGCCCGTCTGTAGACAAGATAATGGATTTGGTGCCGAATGAGACAAGGGTGCCCCCCAATCTACATCAGATAAACGGCACGAACTACACCGACCAGATCACTGTCGAGATGCTCCTCAACCACAAGTCGGGACTCCCGGACTACTGGAATGTGAGGTCCCTACACACATAGATACACCACTGGCAGTCAGTGATCTGTATGTCATTGGCAGTCGCCCGACTTCAACAAGACCTTCCTCGCCGACATCAATCGCCGGTGGGAGCCAGAAGAGGTCATCCCGTTCGTCGCCAAGATGGAGGCCCACTACGTGCCACACACCGGTGAGGACGAGCCTTACTTCGCGAAGTACGACCAGTATGCCGTGTACTACTCCGACACCAACTACGTCCTTCTGGGCTTCCTGTTGGAGGAGCTGGAGGGAAAGCCGCTGGCTGACGTTTACAAGGTGCGGCTGTACGAGCCCCTCAACATGACCAGCACATGGCTGCGCTATAGAGAGAAACCACGGTGGGTATGCCAGCTGCACATATGGGCACAGACAGAGACAGCACATCACATCACACACATGTGCAAGCCGCCATCTCTCTCTCTCTCTCTCTCTGTGTGTGTGTGTGTGTGTGGCCGCAGGAGCTCTCTGCCGATATTGAATCGTTACTGGAGCAAGCCGGCCATCCATGGCAATGAGCAGATCGACATGTCCACGCACAAGCGGCAGACCGCCGAATGGGGCGGCGGCGGGCTCGTGTCCACCACTGAGGACCTCGTCAAGGTGCTGCGGGGCATCTTCGAGAGCCCAGGACCGGGCGGCCTCTACAAGAACAACGAAACCGTCCAGCGTTTCTTTGGCCCGGATGCCTTTCATATGCACGTGGATTACGACGTCAAAGAAGTAGGTGTCGAGTTGCATTGACTGCGTTGCCTTGGCTTGTACGGCTACATAAAATGCATTTCGGTGTGTGTGTGTGTGTGTGTGTTGCGCTTTGGTGTTTGTCAGGGGCAGTGGGACAACGTGTACTCGTCTGGTATCTTCGCAGTCAAGTTCGACGACGAGGACATGGGCGAGATCCTCGGCCACGAGGTGAGGGGCGCCCTGATTAGATCTTATCCCTGTGTGTGTATTGTCGTTCATCTTGTTTGTTTGTCTCATAAAGGGCTTCGGCAGCAGCTTCGCCTACTGGTGGCCGCCCGTCAAAACATCCGACGGCCGCCAGGTCGGCGGCTACCACCTCGTCGGTAGGTCCCCCCCCCCTCATGTGAACGGAACATTTCTGTACTCGCTGCATGCACCGATTGATTATGACCCAATCAGGCACCCTGAACCAGCTTGAGCAGCTGCCGGACGTCAAAAACGACTTCTGGTGGTTCTACGTCGTCTATGAGATTGTCGAGCAGCTGGTCGATCCCGCAGTGCAAGAGAAATTAGCTGTCGAGATGAAGGAGCTGCCGAAATATCTGGAAGAACGGCAAAAGGTGGCACAAAGGCCGGCAAAGCGGGGGGCTGCCGCTGGTGTGAGGCCCTCATTTGCCCTCCTCTTGGGGGTGGTTCATTTGGCTCTGGGGCTTTTTTTGCTGTCCTGACTGGCTGGGCGACTGACCGATTGGTTGATGCATTTGGTGCACATGATCTCACCTCACCCCTCCCCCCTCTCTCTTTCGGCGCTTTTCTGCGCTTTTGGTCCTTGGTGCTAGCTCAGCTTTTGGCAGTCGGGCACTACTTACACTCCGTTGGTCGTTGGCCGTGAGTGGGTCGGTTACTGGTCACTGCGTCTGTCTGTCTGTCTGTCTGTGCTGACGGCCAAGGGCGGCTGGACTGTGAAGGTGTGTCCATCTAGCTGTGCTTGTGCTGTTTGGGTTATGTGTGTTGCAGGGGGAAGGTGGGCTGTGAGACGGCTTGCGTGTGTTGGTTGGGGTGTGTGTATGCCTAGTCTCGCTGAATGCGCTGCGGCCATGGCCACCCGATCGGTGAGGTGAATGAATTGACCAGTTCACTCGAGACAGAGAGAGACGTCATACCCAGAGAGACAGCCAGTGTCCTCAGAGTGACGCTGAGCCGACAGGCAGGCAGGCAGTCTGTGTACTGGAATCCACAGACGCACGCAATCCACTCACCTCATTCAGATGAGTGAGTGAGTCAGGGATGAGGGGAGGTGTCGAGCTAGCTATGGCAGAGAGGTGGGGGGACATCAACTGACCGACACACCGGCCGACCAGCACTTGGAGTGAGTTAGATGTGGAGGCACAAAACGCAGGCCTAGGTGCACAGGGCGGAAGGACGGCACACGAAGGAAGGAATGATCGAAGGCAGCAAGCCATGGCATTCACTCATTCATTCATTCAAGCAAGATCGATCGATCGATCGGTGCATGGATGGATGGATGTACAAATGGATAGGTAGGTAGGCACCTACACACACACACATGCATGCATGACTGACTGACTGACATGCATGACACAAGCTTTCCTCATTGCAAGCTCCCTCACGCACACACACGAGAGAGAGAGAGAGAGAGACCGGTGCTCGAAGGCCCGATCCAGGCACGGTATGATCGATGTCTGTACGTATCTCTCTCTGCCCACATGTACAGACAGACAGATACGCAGATGGATATACAGACACAGTCGAGCACATGTCGACCGACAGCGCCCCACCCACACACCCACACAATCAAGTAAGTGTCCCCACACATACGTGTCCTCTGGCCGGGGATTGTCCGCGCGCAACAGCGCGGAAAAACTCACACCGCCGTCGGTCGGTACGCTGGTTGCGGCGTCGATCCAAACAAGTCTGTCTCGTCAGTCAGTCAGTCAGTCAGTCAGTGAGACACGCAACCATGGGACCGCTGCGGCAAGCAGCAAAGACGGCTGCACGCAGCTGTTTCTTCGTTTGTATCAAGCAGGGCACATCCAGGCAGTCGAACAGGCAGCCATTGACAACGGGCAGTTGAGACAGACAGTCAGACAGACAGACAGACAGCATCGACTGAGACTGACAAATACAATCGAGGCCTCGTGTGTGTCTGATTGTCCCTTATACTCCCCTCCCTCCCTCCCTCCCTCCCGTTGCCTCCCTACCGTTCAACAGCTGCGTCCGTTGTCCTATCTGCCCTCACCTGACCCACACAGACAGACAGACAGACAGGCAGGACCTCACCCTTTGCGCAGCTCGTGTCTGTGATCCATCCATCCATCCATTTTGCCCATTGACTAGACAGACAGACCGACAGACAGACCCTGGGACATCAACCAAGCACTCGCAAAAACTGCACACACGCACACACGTCAGCAAGGAGGATAAAAAGTCAACACGTTTCACGAAGCGGGAGTCAGTCAGATCAGTGGACATTATCAGGCAGACAGACAGAGAGACACGCGATGGAACGGTCGTCAGGTATAGGTGTCGTCCACAGGTTCGCTCACGGATCACGACACACATGTGCTCACGCACGTGTGGGTACACGACAACGATGCACACCAACCACGTCACGCCTGCATGCCTGAGCGCCTGAATGAAGGCGGCAAAACGCCTTGAAGCACACATCGGGCATACACACGTGTACGATGGATGGATGGATGGATACGCTGACCTCACTTCTCTATCGGGCCAGTAGCGTAGTAGTGACTGACACACATGGCATGGGTGAATGAATGACACCGACGAACCGGTGCGTGTGGTGCGCCGGCGACAGGGAGAATGCCATTGTGCCGAGTATTATGGCGTCGCGGGCGTGGCGTGGCGTGGCGTAGCTAGTGTACAAAACCAGATAAAGGCGAGGCGAGGAGAGGAGAGGAGAGGGAGCCAGGCTAGCTCTCTTTGAAAACGTGGGCACACGTGTGTGTGTGTGCGAAAGGATGGATGGATGGATGGGCCCACAGGCAAGCCCACACACACACACGTGTGCTGATGGAATGACATGTAGTGGTATGGATGGCATGGGAGGCAGTCGGTGAATTTGTCGCATAAACACCACACCACACACACACGCCGGGAGGGAGGGAGGGAGGCAGGGGGCACTATGGTGAAGGTGCGTGTATCCGTCCATTGCGTCGGTCGCATCAGAAAAACACACATGGACACACCACACCATGATCGACCGGACAGACATATAAGGCAAAAACGACTGACTCCCGACACCCACGTACCCACACGCCACCGCATACGCGACGCGACCCTCCACGTGACACACAACAAAGTCAGGTCGATGATGAAGTAAGTCACTGCAGTGCGCGACTCTCACACACGGAATCGCACGCAGATATACTTTCTTGACGGCTCGCATGATTATACTACATGTACTTAGGCCACCCCCTCC